CCTGAATGGAGAAATCCAGGTGAAGAGAGGTGTGTGTTTAGATGTAATTATTCAAATTCGATTTTTTTAACTATGAAATTTTAAAACTTTCACCACTTGAAAACTTTATATATTTTTGAAAAAAACTTTCACTTTTTGCAAACATTATATATTTTAAAAATTATTCTCAAAAATTTGCTGGTTACCAATGTTTCTTTCTTTTGCAAATGTAAATTAATAGGCCTGGTTCTATTCACCCCTAAGGAATTATAGAATTGATGAGCTGTGGGACCACATTAATTTTACATGACAAAGTTATAATTACATGACATATAATCTTTTTTCAAGACGCTTGCCACAATTTGTAATTATATATATATTTTTGGGGAGGGGGGCTGGGGAGACAGAGTCTCACTATGTCTCCCTTGGTAGAGTGCCATGGTGTCATAGCTCACAGCTCACAGCAACCTCAAATTGTTGGGCTTAAGTAATTCTCTTGCCTCAGCCTCCCAAGTAGCTGGGACTACAGGTGCCCGCCACCATGCCCAGCTACTTTTTGTTGCCGCTGTCATTTTTGTTTAGCTGGCCCAGGCCCGGTTCCAACCCTCCACCCTCAGTGTATATGGCTAGCACCATAACCACTGTGCTATGGATGCTGAGCTGTGATTATATATTTATTCGTGTGTAATTCTTAGCCTTTCTAGGCCTGAATGTCTTCCTCTGTAAAATGAGCACATTCAACTAAATGTCTGAGTTCTCTTCAAGTTAAAACAGACAGTATTCTGATGAGAATATGCTGAGAATACATATATCAGGACAGCAATTGATGTAATGAAAAGAGCCTGCTTCTTCTCTTACCTGGTGACAATCTGAAATATTATTGTAAGAGCCAGACCAAAAATGGACAATGCACATCCAACGTTTGACGCGATATCTAGTGATGCTGGATACTGATAATTCTTTTTGAAAGTCTGAAAAATAGGTTAAAACTCATATTTTAAAGTAACAATTCCTGAAATGTCAATGAAAGTCAACATCATGAAGAGTTACATTGGTCAAAATAACCAGATTATTATCAGACATGTCTTCTTTTTATACAGCTCTGGTTATATTTAAAAATGAAATAAATTAGCCCCTTATCTTTAAGCAGCTTACTAATGCAGTTAGGGAACATAGGCAGATACAAAACTCTGCACACACTCAAGCCCCATAGTTGGTCCTAAGGAGCCTGTGGACACAGAAAGCCAGCCTCCACATGTGGTTTCACATCCTGCCATACCATATGCTGATCTGTGTTTGGTTGTGCACGCAGCATCTGCCCGTGCAGAGGGCTGGCCATGTATCCCTACGTAAATAGACCCGTGCAGCACAAACCCTTGTTCAAGAGTCAGCTGTATATACATTCCCTCAATCACTAACATCAAAGTTGTTTAAATTAGGTCTAAATTAGCCAAGCTATCAATTTCATTCTTTTTATGTGTAACTATTGACAATAAACCAAGCACATCTAAGTGTATGCACTAAAAATGGAGCTGCAGGAATAATTTTCATAGATGTGGAAAGATGTTCACATGATTCTGTTAGTTTTTTTAAAAAGGAGGGCTCATTTTCGTGTAATATATCTGTATCCCTGTATGTTTGTATATATGCATAGAGCAGCACATTTCTATGAGTGTGTACTCTTAGGAATCTGTTAAGGTAGTAGTAATGGTCACAGGGTGGGTTCAATATGGAGAATTCCTTTTGCTTGTCTTTACTTTCTGATTTTTTCAATTGTTAAAATGAGAAAAGCAATGTATGCTTATTTACAAAACAGGAGAATAATATGGAAGTATAAGAAAAGCGTATGTTCCTCTCTACTTCTAGCTATCCCTAACTATACTCTACCTTTTGAAATAGTTTATTCTTTTTCCAGAGTTGACTGTTTTGTACTGTTAAATTATTACCCAAATGTCCTACACAAATATATATAGGTTTGTTAAATAACAGGATTATGCTTGAATTGACATTGTGATTTTTCATAAGTATTTTCACATGAGTACATCGCTGTTTAGCAGGTAAAATTTTATACTTTATGCAATGCATATATACTGTTTTTATAGAAATAGAATAAAAATAAAAGAAACATTTTAAAAGTAATAAAATAAAAATTTCATGTTTTTGTGTGTAGTATACTAAGTAGCTACGTAAGGACTCATCAAATCCATAACTTTTTGGATTGTAGAAATAATCTATTTACTCAGAGCCTATGTGCTCTTACCTTATATACAATTCTAATTAGCCTTTTCAAAAAATATTGCAACCCAAAACTTATTCCAAATGTGGGTAGGCATCACTGAGACAGATTCTGATATTAGTGAGAAGATATAGTGAAAATTCTGACCTTAAAAAACAAGGCTTGGGTGGCTTCTGTGGCTCAAAGGAGTAGGGCACTGGCCCCATATACCAGAGGTTGTGGGTTCAAACCCAGCCCTGGCCAAAAAAATAAAACAAAATAAAATAAGGCTTTACTTTGTAACAAAGTAGGCTATCTAATTTAACATACATAGCAACCTGAGCTGTACACAGCCAGTCAATGTTACTATGGTTTTAAGATACCAAAAAAACAGTTAAAGTTTTATCTTTACTATCTTCTGATTGCAAAAGTGGATCTCTCTGTAAGTTATAAAAGAAATAGCTTAAATCAAAATAAGAGGGCCAGGCATGGTGGCTCATGGTGGGTGGACTGCCTGAGCTGAGGAGCTTGAGACCAGCTTGAGCAAGAGTGAGACCCCATCTCTAAAGCTAGCCAGGTGTTGTGGTGGGCCACTGTAGTCCCAGCTTCTTTGGAGGCTGAGGCAAGAGAATAGCTTGAATCCAAGAGTTTAAGGTTGCTGTGAGCTATGATGCTATGATGCTCTACCAAAGATGACAAAGTGAAACTCTCTCTCAAAAAAATAAAAATAAAAAAAATAAAAATAAGAGAGATCTGATAATTAAAAAGAAAACTACGGTTTTTTTCTCAGAAAAAAAAATTTTTTTTTAAGCAAAGTTCTATATTCAATAACCCAAGCTGTCCTTGTATAGTCTACTGATCTCCACTGGCTTCCCAAATACGGCTACATCATAGCTACTGAGGAATGAAAACATCTATGATTTGTAGCATCAATAGCTCCTTAATAAGGGAGAAGAAACGCTGCATATCTCCTCATTCCATTGCATACAAAACCACATATAAACTGACATTTTGGTTTTCACCAGAATAACAGGTTTCTAGAATTGGAACTTACAGAACCTCCTCTTCTTAAAAGAGTCACCACAAGAATTTTGAAGGCTACAC